ATTATTATTAATTTATATTATCTAAAAAAATATTTATTTTATTGCTTTTTTTGAGTCAGCATGTCGAATACAATTCATACAGAAAAATTCGCCGCCAAAAAAATTAATCCGATCGTGTCTGTCATATTGAAAGCGCTTTGAGTCTTTCAGTCGTCAAGTTTAAATTTTTCTCGGATATATTTTTATTAGGCGTGTGTTACACGCGGTGATATTTAAGTCTTGATCGTTTCTCGTATCTCATGAGATAAGTAAAATTTCCGTCTATCTGTCTTCCTTCGTTATTTCCTTGACTTTTTTACTGTCATCTGTTTTCGTTTCATCATTTTGAGTGATAGTTTTGAATGCCGTGCAAAGATCTCACTAGAGCACTTTCATATTATACAAACAACTCTGAGTTGTTTCTTTGGAGTCTCTCTTCCAGAATTGCGGAAAATCATGCTTTAAGATTTTCACTATATGCTAATTATTTTAAATATTTTAATTAAGTATTTTAATTATAGCAAAATTATATAACAAAAAATATATATTGATAATATTTATTGAGTAAAGTATTATTAATTCTCATATGTCCAATGATACATCATTGGTATCTATATTATATTGAGTCATAGAATTATGTTAGATATTTTATTGGTAAACTATTGAATATCTTACGATAACATAAATGGGATTTTCGAAAAATTGAATGTATTTTTCAATTTTTTAGAAAGTGATCGAAGAGATTTTTATTTTTCATATATCAAAAATCAAAACCAAGACAAATTTTAGAAATTAAATCATATTATTCGATGCATATTGACTGTCTACAGTTAAATCTACATACAAATCTACATACAAATCGATCTTCATATAGAAAGAAAGAGAGAGAGAGAAAGCTGAGACCGGTATTAATAAGAAAAAATGAATAATGATGAATGATTCGATCGATTGATAGATCGAGGACGAAACCTTGTTGAAATCCCATTTACAAATACCTCTGCTGTCTCGGCTTTCATTTTTCATGGCCTTGCTTAATGTCTTTTTACCCTTTTCTCTCGATCCTACTAATCGTCGATTAATCCAAGCCTACGAGTAGATTTTAAATTCTCATTATGTTCGTGAAATACTGGCGACCATTCTGAATGAGAATAATTACGGCAATTAGACTAGTACTTAATAATTTACGAATAATTCTTGATTCTAAGAATTATTTGTCTTGATTATAGTTAGATTAACGTAATTTAATGTATTGTAACTTTATTTAATTTTAATGATTTTTTAAAGATTTATTTATATCTATTCAAATATCCGTTTACATATAATATTTTAGCTGTTTCACTAAAATATTTTTTTATCATGTTCTATTCTATTTCTTTTTTTGCCTTAATTCCTAATTATCCCTTTTATGTCGATCGTATCGTAGAAAGAATATTATTCTTAATCTGAAATATTGTCTTCCATTGAAATCATTTAAATTTTATGAAAGTATAGCGGAGTAAATTTCTTTTTCTTCCATGTCATAGATTCATGAAGGATCCCGATCCAATAGGATGCCTTTATCTTCCACTGATGTTAGACTTAAGAGCAGGTCGCTCTTTCTTCCTCGATTATATTATAAGCCAATGACACAGAACTCTCACTTTATAATTTCAATAAACAGATTTAACAATACATTACTTATAATCTTGTTTTAAACGAATTTTAATTTCATTATAACAATTATTTAATGATTATTATATATTAACTTTATATTTTATGTAATTAAATCTAATTTGCATTCTTTATTTAAAACAAAGTAATATCTTAAATTTATTGAATTAAATTTGCATATTTAAAAAAAAGGCTACATTTGTTTTGATTATTAATTTAATTATATAATATGATCACAGGCAAACGAAGAGGAGAACGAAAAAAGAGAGAGAGGGTTGTGCGTCATTGCGCCTAGATCCGTAGAGGATCCAGAGCTGATAGAATCAAATCCGTCTTCCAGAGAAACTGTCGATCCCCATCTTTCGCGGAGCGTGTCTCTCCGCAGCCCCGTATCCCACGTCTTCCATTTTTAGATTAACTTGACATATATCGCCGCATCGAGTCCCTGCCCCCGAGCTCGCGCCCGTCCCTCGCTCTCGTCTGATAATCGCTCGTATTAATAACTCGTAACTCGATCTATATAATCCCCGTTCCATTAAAATCTACTCCGCCTAACGCGAGTACGCCGCGCCAAGAATTCAACCCGCAAACTTGATCCGATGTGGCCGATTCACGAACGAGGAGCCGATCGATATGCCAAGATAAATCCAGCTCGTATTTTATTATTCATAAATATATCATAATTGCTATTTTTTACGAACGCCCTAGTGTAACGTATTTCAATTTGATCGAAACGCGACGCAACGCCTCTATGCCGTAAATCAACTTTATTGAATTATTAATTAAAGAAAACAAAAAAAGAATCACGCATGAGATAACCTAAGAATCTTCGCTTACGTAATTAAATCTACGAAAGAATTTGGATAACTTTCTAAAAAATTTGCATACGCGTTACAATTGCATTTAAATTAACTTTAATA